GTCATTGGGGTGGTCACCCAGGGTCAAAAAGTTGGTGTCTAGGTCTTTTGTGTTTGTCGGTCACGTCGGGTACGTAGTCAACGGCTTGCCTGAGGAGGGGATTGTCATGTCTAGCGGCTACGTCAAATCGTTTCTCCGCGTTTTGTCTTATTGTCTGTGTAGCGTTTGTGTATTGTAAGTCTCGTAATATGTCAGTGTTTCTTACGTACCAGGGCGCGTCGGTGGCCGTGCGGAGGGCTATGTTTTCCACAGCCTGTAATGACTTTAAGTGGCTTTTTGCCGCGTGACCCCACGCCGTGGAGGCGTAGGTTAGCTGCGGTTGAAGTACCACCTTGATAAGCGTTCGCTTATTCCTTAAACTGAGGGTGTTTCCACCTTTGAGTAAGGGATAGAGCCTAGCCCTGGTGGTCTTCGCTCGCGCCACCGTCTCCACGATGTGCGGTTTCCACGTGAGACGCTGGTCCATCGTCATGCCCAGGTATCGTGTTTGTCGATTCCAGGAGATGGGTTCCTGGGATAGTGCCCTACCCAACCATACCACACATAAACATGACACCACCCCCGGGGTTTACACAGACGAGCCGGCGAAGCAAGAAGAGCGCCAGAAGAAAGGGCCCTAGCCGGCGGGGCCCAGCCAGGACAAAAGGAGGTCCCACAAAGCGCCTACACCGGCCGCATTTGCGGTCGGGGTAGACGACGGATGGGGCCCACCTACGAAGGCTGTCCAGGCCTACACGAGATGAGGCAGGATAAAGAGGGATAATCCCCCTCGATCCCAAATCATTGAGGCCAATTTCCAGCCATGGAATAATGGCGGTATAACATGACATGAAGACTGGCTGACAGGAGCCGATAGGAACCCAAGGGCCAACGAGAGCAAATTATGAGCTTCAGACAGCTAGTTAGAACCCGAAGGACGAACTTGAGCTTTGGGCAGCTAATCAGACCCCGAAGGACGAACTTGAGCTTTAGACAGCTAATCAGAACCCGAAGGGCGAACTTGAGCTTTAGACAGCTAATCAGAACCCGAAGGACGAACTTGAGCTTTAGACAGCTAATCACAACCCGAAGGACGAACTTGAGCTTTAGACAGCTAATCAGAACCCGAAGGGCGAACTTGAGATTTAGACAGCTAATCAGAACCCGAAGGGCGAACTTGAGCATGCAGACGGGCTTTAAAAAATCAAGGGAGGCAATTGTGACTTACCAGTTGTTTATTGGCGAACTGTAAAGGGTTTTAGGTGTTCTACACAGGCCACACCTTCATAGGGGAGTCGTGAGCGAGTCGTATGAATATTTTCTTTAATGCGACAGCGATCATTCGAAAGAATTTCAGTTACAGTAAAGGGCCCTTTATATTTTGTTAACAGCTTCTTACTGCAATTATTGTTACATGGAATGCTAGAGATTCTGCTGAGAACAGAATCGCCCACTGCATATTGTTTTGCGGGACGTTTAATATTGAAAGTAGCATTTTGTTTCTGTCGTGGTAGATATTTAAAATTCATAACCAGGAACACAACCTAGTGTATTTAATGATTTATAAATGCGGTCAACAAAGGTTCTTAGTAATTTAAACAAAAGTGCTTTATCTGATTGGTCAAGAGTGCCCATTTGTATATTCATATCAACTGGCGGAACAATATTTTCTTTATTCCATTCAAATTTCAAATCGTCGATTATTCTATAATAAATAATAGAAGGGCTTTCGGTAAAATTACGTCCGA